CCTTGGAGAAAAAAGGTGGGGTCAGAAGTGCTGTGAATAATAAATAAATTAAAAACAGAATACAAGCAACAGAATTACTATTCATTTAAATGAAGCTGAATTAGAGGCAAACTATTAAAGTAAATAAAGTGTTAAACCACAAACTGGAGGGGAGATCTCTGACCTATTCCACTAACAGTACAAGTGAAACACAGCTAACCATAAATGTACATAGTAACTCCTTGAATTCCTTTGTCTACTTGGTTTTCCTTTGAAATAGCTTTGTAAGATAGACAGCTTTTCAACAGAGAAAGAACTGAAAAATAAATTTATTGACTACTGCCTCCCTTTTCCGTTCCCGTGATGTAAGAAATTCTGCTGTTGGCTATACACAATACATTTAAAGTGCCCCCCCAAAGAATTATGGGAAATGTCTTTTAGGGGAGCTGGGAATTGTAGCTCAGTTAGGGGTGTGTGTGTGTTAAATATATGGTGTGACTGCAGCACAAATTAAGCCTTAAACTTGAGAGAAGCTGCTAAAACTGTGTAGGAGAATCACTCCAGTCTATGGACTCAAACCAAGGTTAATACAGGCCCCCCTCTCTTTAAATATTCTGCATATAAACCCAGTTCTCCCTCCCTGCTCCTGTCCATAACATCTCCTGGCTGAAGAGTTATACACACATAGGCACAAAACATACAGCTGTCTTTGCCTCAGAGCCTTCCATTGCTTTTGGCCTTCAAGTTCACTGATAAGTAAAGCTCCTCCTGGCTCAGCAGCTTAGCAAGCTTGGTTTTGAAACATATGGCATGTGACAGGCTGGAGTTGGACAGCATTTGCTTGGCCCATAGATTGCCTCTGATTCATGGAGTTCCATCAGACGCTCGCTGTGGATGTGAGCATGCCATGCATTTGTGCTCAGCATGGCTCTTTTGGGCAATGTTAATATCGAAGGACTGGATTCCTAAGGATGCAGTCAAAATTCAAATGCAAACAAAAGGATGAAGAATCAAACTGTACTGCAGGCTTAACACATAACCAGGGTATTAAGGACTGTCCCCGGATATATTTTGATACAACTGAGTGCATACTACCATTACCTGGACCAATGCCTGTGGTGGAAAAAGGAAATAACCAGGAAGTAACCAGTTATAGGGAGTTTATTTTGGGGAAAGACCTTAGCTCAGTGGTAGAACATCTGCTTTTCATGAAGAAGGCCCCGTTTTCAATCCCTGGCATCTCCAGGTAAGGCTGGGAGGCAACCCTGTCTAGAAACCTGGAGAATCACTGCCAGTCAGCATAGGAAATAGTGAGTGAGATGCACCAACAGTCTGACTGGCAGCTCCCTACATTCCTATTTATTTATTTCTTCGGCTTCATCAAAAGGATCCAGGGCATGCTACAGCAATGTAATAATGCAATCAGAAAGTAGTAACAAAAAGTGATATACAATTATAATAGCAAGTAAAAGGATTCCAAGGAAAAGCAGTGTGGTATAGTTTGAACAAAACAGAAGATATGGGTCTTACAAAAAATGCCCTGTCAAAGCCACAAGAAAAGGGTGCTTCAGCGTGTGTTAAAAGCTGAATTGCTCCTATTGGAAGAGAGTGAACCTCTTTAGTAAGGAAGATATAGCCAGTGCCTCATAGTCATTCTTTCTGATTGCTCAGCAAAGGTGATTATATGAGAAGCACCCTTAGCAACAGCAGTGCCTCTGTATTTGCTTAATAAGCCTTAGAACATTGCCTTCACATTTTGCTTTCTAACTTTCTTTATAGATGTCTGACTGACTCACTTTTCTCCCCCCGCCCCCAAAAAGCCAGGGGTTCAAAAACAAAGCTGGCTTCCTACTGAGAGTGAGGAAGGGAGTGAACATAAAGATGAGCTAGGTATTGCTCAAAATTCTACCCCAGAATGAATTTAGTTCACCTTTAGTTCACGTGGCAATTGTGGGAACTAGTTTCAGGTGTAGTTTTTGAAGTAGTTTGGTGAACTCCATTTGATTGAATGAGTTCATTCCAAGCACTGCCCAAGAATGCATGGTTTGAGGGCAATTTGTTGGGTGACTCAGTCACCACAGGTCACAACTAAGCATCTTGCCAATTGTCAAAGACACACAAAAACTTAAGGAAGAGGATAATTTTGCATTGCCAAAGAATACATTTACAACAGTATATTGTGAACCTTCATTTGGACTTGATAACATGCATGGCCAAAGATTTGTTATACCACCCATTGTTTTCTGGAGAGCCTTGGGGTTGTGACAGAGTGCAAAAGCAGGTGTGTAACTTGCCCTGCAGTGATGCAGCAGGAGTTCCACTTGCTACTACATGCTGCAGTTCTTGCTCACAGTTGGAATACGCAATTTGATTTGTTTTTAGTTTCAACATCACCTTTAAAACCTGCTAAGGATAGGATGCACAGTTCAGCTACTTAACATCCAACAGGGAGATAAAATTTGTTTAGCCTTTTAAAAAACAATGTTCATGGAAATCTACTTTCATGGGGAACTGCAAAATTCAGATATTAAGAAAATAATTTACTTTATTTTAAATATGTACAGCTTTTCATTATCAAATTCCACAGTAGTTTACAAGATACAGTACATTAAACAGTATGTATATAACTAGCAAGAACTCAGAGAGCGAAAACAGCAAACCACAGCAGAACAATATAAAGCAATATTACTAAAAGCTAGGTATTTGAACCAGCAAGAGTTGTTGAAAAAGGTATGACTGTAACAGATCCAAAAGACAACTAAGGGAGTCCATAGACTGGGTGCCACAACAGGGAAGGTCCTCCCCCACTTGTGCAAGATGTATACTGACTACCAGTTAGTTTCTAGGCTTAATTCAAACTGCTGGTTTTGACCTATTAAGCCCTAAAGGGCCCAGTACCACAATACCTCAACGACCGCCTCTCCCCAAATAAACTGTCTTGGACTCTGTGATCATCATTTGAGGTCTTTTTTCATGTGCCTCCTTCATAAGAGGTCTGGAGGGTGGCAACATGAGAACAGGCCTTTTCTGTGGTTGCTCCTTGTTTGTGGAGTGCTCTTCCCTGGGAGGTCCACCTGGTGCCTTCATTATACAGTGGTACCTCTAGTTGCGTTCACCTCTGGTTACGTATCTGTCAGGGAACTGCCATCGGAGCCGATAGTGGAGGTAAGGCTCCCCAATGATGCAGGAGAAGGGACCAGCAGGGGGAGAGAGAACACTTCCTTTGAGGAAGGGAATTGGAGTGACACCAGGAAGCAAGGGGAAACTGCGGAGAGAGGGCTCCAAGACTCTTCGACAGAGACCAGCGGGGAGAGCACAGGACCTCTGTTGGGCATGCCCACTCTGCGCAGGAGACTTCCACGCAGGGAGGCGAGGAGGAGACTGGCTGTCAAAGAGTTTCTATGTTGGAAGAAGTTCAGGAAACGCCCACTGACGGATTCTGCCAGCGACTGACACAGCCATGGAGAAAGGGCTGTCCAGCCAGGGAAAGGTTTTGCCAGGCTACGTTGCCTAGAACAGTAGCACCCTTTACGCACAAGCAACCCCAATATCCTTTACAGTATCCTTTGGGATATATACATGGCAAACCCGGAAGTATTTTTCCGGGTTTCGCCACGCGCACATGCGCAGAAGTGGCACCTCCAGTTGCGAATTCCTCAGGATGCAGCCAGAGCTCCAGAATGGATCCCATTCGCAACTGGAGGTACCACTGTATATTTTCAGGCAGCAAGCAAAAATGTTCTTCTATAACCAGGCCTTGGGCTGTTTAAATAATCAGTGGCCTTTTAAACGTGTTTATGGGAGCAGCATCGTTGGTTTTTTGTTTGTTTGTTGCTATGCTGTTATGTATTTTGTGTTTGCATTTTGCATTTTGCTCTGTGAACTCAAACCCTCCAACATTTCTCCAATGAAAATTGGGACATCCTAAGGAAAAGTGGGACATTCTGGGATCAAATCAGAAACTTCTGATGTAGCTTCTCTAAATCAGGGATGTCACTGGAAAATAGGGGCACTTGGAGGGTCTGTGGATGCAGGGCAGTGTGTGTGTGTGTGTGTGTGTGTGTATCAATGTTGGATGGAGCAACAGGTGGGTCTGATCTGTAGATCTCAGTGAATGGGAAAATTCCATGTGCAAAGGAAAGCATATGGAATTATCATGGCTCATTCTTTTGGCAATTTCCTCTCACCCTCAGATTCTTCCTTCAAGTCCATGGCCTTGTCTGCTGAAAAGAGGAAATTGGATACCAAGGTTGTGTTAATGCTGTGCTGGCTCAACCTCAGTTGGGACGTTGGCTCATATGGGTTCTTTAAGTGTCTTGCAGGCGAAGGCTGAATCATATGCACATCTTCTGCGGGAAGTCCCACTGGAAATATTGGGACTTACTTCTGTGTTTAAGCATGCAGGAAAAGAGCTACAATGTGGACCCCTGTGGTTAATTGAAGGAAAGACACTATTTACATACAAATTATAACTAAATCATGAACTGGGCATTAAAATAAGTCAGCAGTCCCACTTCTGTTTACTGGGAACTTTTATCCATAAAAACCAATCGGACTTACATCCAATAAAATATGCACAGAATGGGAGCTTTAATGTGAACTTAATTGATACTTTTCATTCAGAAAATAAACACAGGACAAAGCTTGCCCCCTAATTCATTTTGCCCTTTTTGCCCCCCCCCATCACCCCACCCCCACCCCTGGTGCTACAATTACTCTGTGGAAACTTGGAAATCTACAACTTTCCTGGGATTTAGAAAGTACGATCAATCTTTCCTAATAACCTTTGGTTGGTTTTCTGACTAGTTCTCTTTTATTATGTTTTATTGCATTGATATTTGTATCTAGTATTCTGTTTTATAGTGCTTTTATTATTTGGCTACACGTTTGAACTTCAGAAAAGCAGTTTATAAATCTCTTGTATCAACAAATAATAATTCACTGGGAATTAAGTCTGAGTAAACACACTTAGGATTGAGTTCTAAGTCAGCCAAAAACATTTTCTCCATTTTTATTGCCAGGTTTATGGAACCCAAGTTCTCAAGAATATCAAACCATATATCATCATTTCTTATGAAAATATGCATCGGTGGCCTATATGCTTCCATCTCTTACCACCACCTGGACATTCTAGGCTGACTTGGTCAACATTTTAATGGTATGTGGATATATTTCATAGAAGCATAGAATCATAGAGTTGGAAGGGACCCAATCTAGTCCAACCCCCTGCAATGCAGGAATCTCAGCTAAAGCATCCGTGACAGATGGCCATTCATATATACAAAATTATTGTCCCCTCAATTATAGTCTTCGTTCAACAGAAATACTTCTAGGATCAGTGTGGGGATATGTTTTGTTATTGTTGAGAATTTATATATTTCTGTGGCACCTTTTAGGATGAAAACTCTTTCAAGGTGGGTTACATCCAAAAACACACACATGAAACTACACAATCACATTCCAATAAAATACAGTTTTCTAAAAAGCACATTAAAAACATTTCACAATCCAGAAACACAGTCAAATAAACCTGGATTAAGCAATTTAAGAGATTTAACACTTAGTACCAATACAAACCAATAAATCTCTGCATCTCAACTAAAAGCAGCTTGAAATAAATAGGTTTTCAAGCTCTCTCTCTCTTTTTGAAAGTCAGTAATGATGGAACCACATGTGTATATCTCATGGGAAGGAGTTCCATAGAAGTGGGACCACCACTGAAAAGGCTTTGATCCTGAATACATTTATATGCCTTTTTTGTGCCTTTTGAGTTTCACAAATGGTTGGATAAAAGATACTGTCTTTGCAATATAGCTGTCGTGCAGGTATTTGATTGTCTAGGTTTGCACAGGGCTTTTGCTATTTGTGGCTCCCTCCCTGACCTAACTCTGTTACTTGAACTAATAAAGAAACATGGTTAATGCATTTCTCATGTTGGATGGGATCCTATGCTGCACGAGCTTCCAGCCAATGAAAACTAGATGTGGATTCCTGACTCCACTGAAGTCCAAATGCTGCAGTCCTTCACACAGTTAACCTATCGTCAATCAGCCTGAACTGGATTTTTATCAGCAGAACGTTTGCAGGATAGAAACCAGTAACATTAACCTCAGTGGAATCAGGACTTTGTTCTCCAGTATGACTTAGGAAATATCACCCTGCAAAGGTAATAATGTTATGAGCCTTACTGGCTTTTGTGAGCCCATTCCTCTATCTGTCCCTCATCTATTGCAATATGGTTGATTTTTGCCTTCACTATAATGTAAAAGAGAAATGGGTGGGTGTGGGGAAAATGAACTGAATACTGTTGGATAATTTCTGTGCATTACAAAAACTTTGCAAGATCCTCCTTTTTCATTTAGGGTTGGTATCTTTTCCCTGTTGGGGAAAATATTAGTTCCCCCCCAGTGTTTGCACAGGGTGAGCATAACATCAGCTTTTCCTGGTGGAGAACTTTGAATTTATAGCACTTTTCTAACCCCTTCGAGAAAGTCCACTTGTAAGAAACATCACACATGACGTTTCCAGAACTATAGTTCTCAGGAACGCTTCATTTTCTGAGCAGTTAAACAACGTCCACGTCTAATTGTGTATGATGCACAAGAAAGCAGTTCTGATTTCAGACAGTAGAGGGCACACTGCCTGGTCATTCTGGTAGGTTCCTAGAACGAGCCTCCAAACTTTCTCCAGCATTTTCCTCAAGCCTTCAGCCCTACTGTGAAAAATCCTTTCTATTCTCACAGCTAAGCATTTTGGCTTTTTGATGATTATCAGATTTGCTCTAGTTAAATATCTCAATCTAGATCACTACTTCTAAGACTCCAACTTGATGAATACTAATAAAGTAATTATTTCTTAGTGAGCAGTACAAACAGCACAGCTTGCGCTCTCTCTCTTTCTCTCTCTCTGATTATGTGGGCACATCTCTGTCCTGTTACATAGGGGAAGGGCTGTAGCTCTGTGATAGTGTGTGTACTTTGCACACAGAGGATCCTAGGCTCAATTCCTGGCATCTGCAGGTAGGTCTTGGAATCTCCCCTAAAACCCTTGGAGAGCTACTGAGCTAGATGAGCCAATGGTCTCACTTGGTATAAGGTTGTTTACCTCCTAGGTTGTTTACATGCAAGTGGTGGAGCATAGTGAATCTGTATGGGGTTGGAACTGACATTCCTAGTGAAAGATGCATTCATATCTAATCGTACAATGGCGTGCTGCTAAATTTGCAGCCTGCAAAAATGAAATAGCACATCAAAGGAGTTGTTGGATAATCTGACGGTGCTTTTTTAAAAGATCTGTGATGACTTATTCATATGGAAGCCATTTCCTGGTGTGGAGGCTAATGGCAGGTACACACACAAACAGAGGGTGCTGCATATACATGTAATAAAGACATAAAGATGTAAGTCAGTTACAGGGTTATCCAAATGGTTATATACTCCTAACATTTCAGCAGGGCCTAGGTAACTGAAAGTTGACTTTTTTTTTTTTTGAAGTGAAAAACTGACATTAGATCCTCTCTTCCCAGGAGGGTGAAGGCTGAAATTTTGTACACACCCAGTTGTTGTTTTTTAATGCACAACACTCCATAAATATCGGGGGATATGATATGTCCCACAAAATAACTAACACATTCCAATACTAGCTGCGAAGCTTATATTTAGTGCACATGTGTGGACTCTTTGGCACACATTAAGGGGGGGGGGTAGAAATGAAAATGGGCATTTGTACATCTTTCTCCAAAAGAGTTAAGATCATTCCACATCACACACAGAGTAAGTTGACATTTAGCTCGTAAATACTCTATAGCTCCAAGATAAGCTGATTCCTAGGAATGTAAAATGTTTGGCTATAGAAGTTCCCTTTCACAGTTATGTAAATCAGATCCTAAAAACGTTTTCCCAAAAAACAATTAATTCCTAAGTTATGCTATCAGTAAAGACAAATTAATCGCTTTTGTAATCCCTGCTATACTGTTAACATATTTATGAAACAAAGATAGCAGAGAATGGAAACTAATGTGCCGACATCTCCCCCACTCCAACCACCCACAATATGCAACCCTGCATCTCCCTGCATACATTTAGGGGGGGGGAGACTTAATGATGTGCCAAGTTGTGTTTTTTTTTTTCCTTTTGGGAATCGGGGCGGGGGGGGAGAATTAATACATATTTCCTTGAGAGTGCAAGTTAATTCCTTTTTATGCATTAATGACACTCTTATTCACTAACCCCTCAAATATGTTTATGTGCATTATAAAATGTGCATATCTAGAGCTGTATTGATATAAATTATGCTTTAATCAACGTGCTAAGAGCCTGTCTACTCGGGAAGAGAACATATATTTGCATATGAATCCTAAGTCTATTTATAACATCAACCATCACTTATTTAGGGTAGCCACTCCTGAAACAGTTGAAAATCAAATGTATAGCAGTTGCAACACACTTTTGGTCTCAACCCAACTAGAAGGACTCTGGACACAGAATCCCTCTTGATAATCCATGGTTTACATGGATTAAGAACAAAAGATTAGGGATCATGTAGCAGAAAGGTCCATAGCTGGGGGTAAACCTGAAAATTTACATGCAAAGAGTTCCACATATAATCCCCAGCATTTTCAGAAAAAGCTGGGAAAGACTTTTCTTTGAGACTCTAGAGAGCTGATGTCATTCGGTACAGACAATACTAAGCTAGGTAAAAGGTAAAAAAAGGTAAGGTAAAGGACCCCTAGACGGTTAAGTGCAGTCAAAGGTGACTATGGGGTTGCGGTGCTCATCTCGCTTTCAGGCCAAGGGAGTCAGCATTTGTCCACAAGCAGCTTTCCGGGTCATGTGGCCAGCATGACTAAACCGCATCTGGTGCAACAGAACACTGTAACAGAAACCAGAGTGCACGAAAACACGGTTTACCTTCTTGCCGCAGCGGTACCTAATTATCGACTTGCACAGGTGTGCTTTTGAACTGATAGGTTGGCAGGAGCTGGGACAGAGCAATGGGAGCTCATCCCGTTATGGGGATTCAAACTGCCGACCTTCTGATCGGCAAGCCCAAGAGGCTCAGTGGTTTAGACCACAGTTCTACCCACATCCCCACCGAGCTAGATATGGCAGCTTCCTCTGTTGCAATGTGAAGCCAGACATAAGCTATCCAACGTAGTCCCCTCCCATCCCAATTTGGAGCACATGATGTACCACATTGTACCATTTAAGGGTATTGAGTTGAGACCATAGATTGTGTTTTTGTTGTTGTTCAGTTTTCTTTGGCAGGAGTGGCTGAGGAAACCCAGCCAGATGAGCAGGGTATACAGTGGACACTCGGGTTGCAAACGTGATCTGTGCGGGATGTACATTCACAACCCACAGTGTTTGCAACCTGCAGCAGCGTGTCTGCACATGCGTGGGTTGTGATTTGGCGCTTCTGCGCCATGCACAATTTAGTGCTTCTGTGCATGCACAACCCCCAAAACCTGGAAGTAACCCATTCCAGTACTTCTGGGTTTGGGTGGGTCTATAACCCCAAAAAATGCAACCTGAAGCATCTGTAACCCAAGGTATGACATTATTATTATTATTATTATTATTATTATTATTATTATTATTATCTGTTTCTGAGATAACCTGCTTGTAAAACGAGTGCATTGCACTAGATGTGCAATGTCACATCTCATGTCTTGGCTGTTACCCAGAAATCCATAAAGGAGGAGTTCTGTATAGCCAATACATACTTACTTGTATGACTATTTACTGAGAAGTCACAGGCAAGAAGAAGCTCTTGCAGCCTGCAGCGTGTGGTTCCTAATGAAGAGAGATTCTCTGTATGGCATCTCCCTGGTTGGATTGCGGCAACCATGCACTGCACAATGGTGTATTACTAATGCGTGTGGCTGTGTGGTACCGTTAGCATAAATTTAATTGGTGGTTGAAGCACTTTGTAGGAACACAGATCCTTTCTGCCACATGCTAGGCACATTTGCTTGGTGGAAAAGACTCTTTGAGTTCAGTGAGATTTGCTTAAAAGTAAGTGTGCATAGGAAAGCAGGCTTTCCACCCGATTCCCTGCATGTTTGCTCAGCAATAAATCCCAATGTAGACAGTACAGTCTACTCCCAGGGAAGTGTGTATTTGGAGTTCAGCTTTTTTCTCATCAGTCACAGCATAT